AAGGGGACTTGGTGCTAAACAGCAAAAAGTGAAGAATGTAATTAGGTCCCGTGCATTTACCGGCATCTTACTTCTGCTACCATAATCACTTATCATGATCTTCCAATTATACTTCAATGAATATTATATAGATCTTGACCATCTGAATTTGTTATACAATGCCCCAAAAACTATGCCACAAAAACTCTCCCAATTGACACACCCTTTCCCAATTTGCATTCCCCTTTTGCCTAAGTACATGAGGTGGTAGGACACAAGATTTTACCTTGGCAATCCAAGAATCCATGAAATTGTTTAGGGTTAAGATATATGTACAAAAGGCCGACAGAAGAAGACATAAACTGATTCCCCTCTGAGATTCAATTTGTCAAAGCTTCTTGCTCAAACCAGACTTCTTTGACTTGGATGATGGGCTTGAGGCTTCTTTGAATGCAGATGGGCAAAACTCGCTCACACTGCACATGCCACAACGAGGTCTGAGCGGAGTGCAAACTGTCTGTCCAAATCCCACCTGTTCATAGTAAAATAAAGAAGAAAATGCATTATTGTATAATTCTACCCGTCAATGGTGCATATTTGTGATGATAGAATAGAAGAACAAAGAAACAAAAGGTTATAGATAGACAAAAAGCAATCAGCATTCAGTTCATTGGAGAAGTCTCAAGATCAAATTTATAATTGGTGAAGAATATCTTACCAAATGGTTTATTGCTCAGCATAAAAGTACTAGTAAAAAATGGTGAAGTAATAACTTCACATCAAAGACTCAGGAATGACCCCTTCTTAACCCATAGAGGGTATGCTGTGGTACGGGAAGGGATGCCACCAGTTCACCAAATGCAAACAGGTGTTCGCACATCAACACACACGCAGTCAACATGTATGTATCACGGGCACAAACATGTGTCTGTGTGTCCACACTAGTATTAAGGGGAAGTAATTTGTAAAATTTGTGTTTAAACATGTCATTGGTATTGAGAAGTGAGCTATGCATACCAAAAGAGGGTTTATGGGGTCCCATTCTTCCTTCGG